TCTCCCAGCTGGGGCAAGAGAATTACCTTCTCCAGAGCAAGGTGCTCGATCCCATCTCCTCTCCTGCTGCTGTAGAACAGGGGCAGCGCGAACATTCAGTCATGTTGTTTTCAGTTCACTGCAAATGAGGAGAAAATGCATTTTTATACATCTGTTGCTGGCTTGTGTGTGTGTGCTGACTAGTGGAGTTATTCCTCATAAGATGTGATTTTTTTTTTCTACAGAAATCCTGTTAAAATCTTGTTATCCCAGGTTCTCTTGTTTAGCTGTTTTGGCAGTTCTGCAGCAAGCTTTTTGCAAAGATTTAACATTTTATATTAATAAATCTTTCTAATTAAAAAAAAAATTCCAGATTAAGTGATACAGCTTGTTACTGAGAAATTCTCTACATAGAGTTTGTTATTTTGCTGCATTTTTCTATGTTGCATTTTGGCTATATAGCAAAATAGTATTCACAGGATTATTCCCCTCTACCTCCCTGCCTAAATACTTTAGGAAAAAAAGGAAGTCTAGTTCCATTGTTAATTTTTCCCAGCTTGCCTATATCGTTCCTATTTATCATGAAAGCAGAATAAAGAGCCAATATTATTATTGGCTCATGCCTTAATGTACATTGATTTATTTGTAACATACTCTGAGTTTAAAGTAAAATCTTGGGAAGGATTCTGTGTTGGTAACAAAACTTTCCTGTTAATTGTGTATGTATTTCTTAAAGTTAAGAAGCATGGAAGAGCTAGCTAAAGGAAACAGATGGATCCATGGTACAGCAACAGTTCCTGTCACTGAAGAAAAACTGACACAAATTAAAAAAGAAATTGAAGATCAAGAGGTCATTATTCAAGGTTATCAACAGGTATGCTGCCCAGCATGGAGTGCTGTGTGCTAGTTGTGTGTTTCAGAACCCAACTTTGACAGTGGTTACTACTTTTCTGTTTGAAACAGTTATCTTGGTATCTACCGGGTGGAAGAAGTTTTCTGTATGAAGGGCACAAAATATATTGCACACTAAAAATATTTATTTCCCCAACTACACATGATTGTCCTAAACTGTAAAAATAAGGTGACCTCTCAGCTGAAAACATGAAGATACTTTTTTTTTTCCAAAATGTAGTAGAAAAATACAGTAATTTTTAGCAGGATTATAATTCTGGAGGATTCTGTATTTGAGATGCAATGAACTGCTCCTGTTATGTGAAAGACAAGGAACCATGTTAAGGTGCCTCATGTATTTCTCTTTAGTTGAAAACAGAAATAGATGTTGCAGGCTTAAATGACCCTTGGAACTACTTGCTGCTGGTCAGTTTAACCAGCTTTTCGGGCTAGTGCTGAGCAACTTTTAGTAGCAGAGGCACAAAATCTTGCTGGTTGAGGGCTGTGGAGCTCCCAGATCGGTGACACTTTTTGCCCCCAGGAGTGGCAGGGGGGGGGAGAAATAACTTAATCACTTAAGAAATAACTTCTTCCTGTTGTTAGTTAATCTTAGTACCCATGGAGCACTCAGCCTAGATTGCAGAGGCCACTACATAATACTTGAGGAAAAAAGCTAATGAAAGTAGATGCCTATTTTAGAAATGTGGTAATAAAACTGTTATTTGCTTTCACTGCTGCAGGGTTTCAGAAGGCAAACAGAGAGTGATTTTTGAATGGGTGAAAGAATAATTTATGAACTTTCTTTGTCTCATCTTAGGAAAATGAAAAGTTATACAAACAAATGAAAGAGCTACAAATTCAAAACAAGAAAAATGAGGAACAAATGTTTAAGGAGAATCAGTGTTTAATGTCTGAATTAATAGCTCTAAGGTAGGCTTATTTAAGCATCTAACCTAAAGTGTCTCTATCTTTCAGTCACGGCTTATTTTGTTTTTAGAGAGTTGCTGCAGTCTGCCAGAGGTTGGACTGGATGATCTCTAGAGGTCCCTTCTAACCTCGACCCTTCTGTGAGATTTGATTTTGTTGATTACAGGCACTTAATTCATACTCTCTCTTTTGATCTTACAGACCTGGGGGAAGGCTGTTCTCCATAGTCAGATTATTCCAGTGCTAAAATATAAATATCCCTCCTATTCTTACAAGAATGTATAGGACATATATTGTAGCCATTCTGATATTACAGTTCTGCTCAAGTGTCGAAATGTTTTGATATCGTTGGAAATGATGTGGTAGATACGGAGGTCACTACACTGAAGGGATATTTGGGAGAGCTCTAGGTCTTCTAAGGTTTGCTTTCTAAGCCAGAAACGAGCTGAACAGCTGCTCTGTTCCTAGTTTGTTGGTCTCTGCTTGTGAGGAAGCCCTAGGTGAGTTGTGCTGATGTTGGAGTTCGGTTGTTTTTTGTTTTGTTCTGTTTTTAATATACAACTGTAATATGCTAAATTGCCACACTGCGTAACTTTTTGCTGTTGTCTTTGTTTTGGTTGTTTTTTAGAGAAAAGGTGAATATGACTAATACACAGCCACGGGTGATGCAGGTTCCTGAACCAGCCAGAAATCAGAGTTTCACAGAGCTGATTTCAGAGCTCCGAGCAGCACAGGTAGCTCCACGCCCTGCACACTCTTAACCTGCTCATGCAAACAGTGCATGACCATCCTACAGTGGAGCAATAACATAAGTAAATAAAGTGGTGGAGCATGCTGATATTTTTCCAGTGTTAACCATTTTCCACAATTAATTATCGCAAATGTGGGACCCCTCAGGAAGGGGCGGCCTGGGGGGGTTGTAACTCCCCAGCTGCTGAGCCAGGTCCTGAAGGGATCCCTGCTCCCCACCAAATACCACCTGCTCCTAACAGCAAAACCTCCTCATTTGGTGGCAAGGCAGTAAATTGTGGTGGGTGTAGAAGCAGGCAAAAAGCTTTAAGACAACAGCTCTTTTGAGACTTTGTTGTTTTGTATAGTCCTAGAGAGATGTAAAGGTTTGGAAGGAGAGCTTCATTTTAATCTAGCTTGTGGCTTTGTGAAAAGATAGGACATTGAGTTGCATTCTTTAGTATTGAAAATAAAACTTCTTCAGTGACCTTTTCCAAGGAGAGGTCTGGAATGTTTTACACTTCTAGAGAGTCTTTACCTACAAGAGGTGGCAGGTTTCCCTGTGTCTGACTTCGGTTTTCCTGTGTCGTACTGTAGCCAGAACTGAGAATAATACCAAGCCTAGAAATCTAATTGCTACCGTAGTTTGACACAACAAGTGTGAGTCAGTCTCTGTATGGAGAAAAAGTATGTTCGTTTTTTGTATGAAAATAATGTGTGTATTTTTTGTTGCCTTAAAACTTTCTCTAAAATTAAGAAGGAAGAAACTAAATTACATGAAGAGATAAAACGGCTTAAACAAGAAAAACAGGCTCTTGAAGTAGACTTGGGACAAGCAAAGAAAGAGAGAGATCTAGCAAAAGTGCAGATTGCTTCCACATCAGGTAAAGGATCCTTATTTTGCTAATAATTGTGCTTCATATATATTTCTTTAATTAAAATATGCTATTAAAATATGACTCAGAATCAAATATATCTAGACTACTTCCAGGTGCTGTCTAAACCTCTCAAAAACATACAGTGAAAGAGATAGCAGAGTATTTCGTTGGCAAATCTATTAGAAAACATTTTATGGTAACTAGCCAAACTCTTGGTTACTGACTTTGTTCATATAAATAATCTGTTTTTCATGCCAACTGGAATAAGACAACTGTGTTCATATGGAAGGACTTAATGTGAACATTGTCTTCCTCTTTAGATCTGCTTACCACAATTTTGACTAGTTTTACGTATAACTTATGCTGTGCAACTCTTTTTTTTTTTTTTTTTTTTTTTTTTCCTCTGAACTTTTTCCCTT